TGCCCCCAGCCTAGTGCTGCCAGTGCCCCCCTGTCCTGCCCGGCAGCCCCCAGGGCCGTGTCCTGCTGCTGCCCTTTGCTGCTCTCTCTTCTCCCCGGTGGGACAGAACCAATGTGCCAAGGGCCCTGCGCTGCGGCTGCTGGGGCGAGTGGCGGCTGTTCCGGGCTGGGAGCGTCAGCGAGACGATGCTCAGGAAGGGCTGGCAGTGCCCTGGCAATCAGCTGCCCCAGCTGTCGCTCTGCTGTAACCCTACAAGGGGCTCCAACAAAGGGGCCGATTGGGTGACGGGCTGCAGGCTGGATTGAATTCCTGGGCGCAGCAGCAGGGAGCTGGGCGGAGGTGAGTGGGAGACGGGAACCCAGGCTGACATCTGAGCGATGAATGGAGGGGAGCGGACCTGATCCCTCACGCCGGAGACAGGCCAGCGAGCCGGAGCACGGTCTGCAGTAGTGGGGGCTGTGACACGGGGGGCTCCTTTGGCTCAGTGACTTGGGTTTCAGTTCGCTAGCATGTCCGTTTCAACAGCTACCTGTGCTCTCTCCTATCACTGCATCCCAGCCATGGCTGCGCTTGGAGCCAGGACGCCTGGGTTCTATTCCTGGCTCTGCTGCTAGCATGCTGGGTGACCGAGGACAAGATCATTCCCAGCTCCATGCCTCAGTTTCCCCAGCTGTATAATGGGAATAATAAAACTAATCCACCTCAAAGGGGGCGTGAGGCTCCAGTACCTATAGAGTAAGCTTCAGCTGGAAGGTGCCATCCGAGGGGAATTGGTATTAATTAATTAATGTATTGATTGAGTTCTCTGAGCCCCTGCTGGCACTGCAGGATGGGCCATGGGGGGCTCACAGGGTCCCATCCCTGCAGGGAACAGTAGAGAAACGAGAGCCAGGGAGCAGCTGGACGAAGGTCATTGTTCACAACCCCCCAATTCCCTCCCCTATCAGTTGGCTCTGGCCAGGGCTGGACTGCCTGGGCCCGGATCCTGTGGTGTCCTGTGGCCCGGGCACTGCCCCTGCACTGCACAAGGGTAGGATGGTGCAGGCATCGCTAACCAGAGAAGTCCTGCCCAGCACAAGGCCATGTCTCTGAGGGCCAGACCCTGCCCACGTCCTCATGCCCTGGCGTTAGGCGAAGGACCTAGCGCTGGAGCTGGACCCAAAGGCCCCAACCTTCACGGGGCCCTGTTCTGAGCTGCAGCGTCTCTCCTGGTGGGGAAGGGGCCTGGGCAGGACCGTGGTGAACCAAGGAAGCTGCTGGACTCAGACGCACCCTGAGGTTCTCTCTGGCCCTAGCTCCCAGCCCACCCCGCCTCATGTCCCCATCCTGGGTCTCCCCAGGGCCTGGCCCAGCCTCCACCAGGCTCATGGCTGCCCACTGCACTGCATTGGCCTGACCCTTCCTAGGAGTAGCTGAAATGGACTGAACGTTTCCATCCCTCTGTAGCCGGGATCCCAGGAATCTCCGCGTGGCTGCCTGCTGGTGTGCCTGGCCATGTCCACGTGCACGGCTCCCTCTCCCCTCTGGGTCGCTGCCGCGGGGCAGCAACACATCGGCTTTATTGAGCCGTCTGGTCAGCTGGGCCTGGCACCAGTGGCAGATCGATGCCAGTTATTGGAGTTCCATCCTGGGCCGAGTTGTACTGCAGCGTCTGGCAGCCTGGTCACAGGCAGGGCCCCGTGTGCTGGGCACTGCACGGTCCCTTACCTTGGGGAGGCTTTGACCTCCTGGAGTAATGCAGCGGGGGGAGGAGCTGGAGATCCCTTGGGGAATCGACCCCTCCTTTTCCCCCAGCTGCTTTTGGCTTCATTTCTAGGAGTGCACGAAATCTCAGTCCCGCAAGCCCTGGCACAGAAGCCGGGCTGCCGAGAGCTCAGAGCTGTGCGTGCTGCGCTCTGAGCTGAAACCGGCTGTGGTGAGGGGTGGGGCTACACTGGGGCGAGGCCAGTGGAGCGGGGTGTCTGCTCTGGCACATGCACCCCTCTCACGTACACTCGTTCCGGGCACGGCAACGCTCCCACTCCCCTTTTGGACTGTGCCTGGCAGCAGGGCAGACACCGTACTGCTCTCTAGGGCAGCAGGATGGCACCGTCTGGGTGGCTTCTCTGCAGGGCAGGGAGCAGCCCATGGCACAGAACCCGCCCATGCTGAGTGGTCTCTGCTCCTGCCCACAGGTCTGCGGAGAGAAGAATCGCTTTGAGAAGCTGATGGAGTATTTCCGAAATGAGGAGAGTAACATTGACTTCATGGTGAGCATTTGGGGTGGGGGGTCCAGGCAGCCCCCCTCACCTGCCCCATCCCCCAAACCATCCATAACGTGCTGCTGCCTGAGTGTTTGGGGCTCGTGTGATGTGAAGACTTGGCTGGGTTTTCCATCTGCTTAGTGCAGGAAAGAGCTGTTTGCAGCACCCCTTCCTTCCGCCTGTCACCGTAGGTGGCCATGTCCCACTGCCCCTGGGGTGGATCCAGGGCTCCACACATGGCCATCGGCCCTCTGTTAAACCACACGTGTGTGGCGCTGAGGAAAGAACCTGTAATCTCACTCCCAGGCCTCTGCCACCTGAACTACGGGTGAATCCCATTTGGTGTCAGTAGTAATAGGGCTTTTAGTGTGCATAGGCATTAAACCACTAGAGGGCAGTAGTTTATATATTGCACTCTAAGCCCCTTCAAGTCTGGAAGAGCTAGCAGGGGGCCGTTCCAAATGCCATGAGCCCCACTGACTGGGTCTTTGAGGCTTGATTTTCCCTGTGTCCAGCAGCTGTGTTGGCTCTGGGCTTGCCGCCTCTCCTCCCACTAAGCGTGGCTGTGTTCAGGATACAGCTGGGGACACTTTTTTGGCAAATAGTAAATTCACCATAAAATTCCTTTTTCGGGGCACTGAATTCGGGCCAAACACGGTGAATAGTTTCAGGCACAAAAAAACCTGAAAGCAAGAAAGATTTAGCAAATGTCTAAACAAACCGGGTGGACGTTTTTGTTTCAGGTCGGCATTCTGAATGTTGCATTCAGCCCTAGTGACATTGTTATGGTGGTTTTTGTTTCACTGAGAAAAAAAACGAAAAAAACCCCACTTTGGTTTGAAACAAAATGAGCTATTTACTTATTTATTGATTTTGGGTTTAGCCACCAAACAAAACCAATCAGTGATTTCTTCAGCTCTGATTAAGGGAGACAGTGTTCTGGAGTGGGTGGCAGGACGCCGGGGTTCTCTTCTCTGCTGTTGACTTGCTTGACCTTGGGCCCCGTCTGCTGGCTCCGTAGAGCACTCTGTGGCCGCGTTAGTGTGCTAGCAATGGGAAACGCTGTCTCATGCGTGTTCACGCTGGGCACGAGACCCTCTAGCGGCAAGGTCACAAGATTGGGCGGCCAGGCGGCTGCTTCTGGCACTGTCACTGATGGTTCTAGTGTCTCTGCTTGTATCTCGCTGCCCCCACCCGCCGCTTGCCCTGGTGGAAGGAGAGGCTCTGGTGCTAACCCTGGGGCTCCCCGGCAGGTGGCCTGCATGCAGTTTATCAACATCGTGGTGCACTCGGTGGAGAACATGAACTTCCGCGTCTTCCTGCAATACGAGTTCACTCACCTGGGGCTGGATGAGTATCTGGAGGTGAGGCTGCTCTGACCACTGAGTTCTGAGGGAGGGGAGAGAGGGCTGGTCTGTATGCCCCCATCGGGGACATCCTCTGTCTACAGCCATCGTGTGCCATCCCAGCCTGGGCTATTGGCCAAGCAGCCTGGAAATGCTGGGACAGAGAAGGGCTGGGCGAGGACTGGGGTCCTCTGGCTCCCTCTTCCCCAGAGGAGAAGCAGGGTGTTTCCGGAGGAAGAGGAGGTGTGGGCGGATGCGCATTCAGCTGAGAACGATCGACTCGGAACGCATGGAGCTCCCCGGTAGGGTTAAGGGTTGGGCTGGGCCTGGCTTTGAACGGGGACCCTTGCTGTCTTGTGACAGAGGCTGCGTTACACGGAGAGTGACAAGCTGCAGGTGCAGATCCAGGCATATCTGGATAACATCTTCGATGTGGGCGCCCTGCTGGAGGACACAGAGACCAAGAATGCTCTGCTGGAGCACGTGGAGGACCTACAGGATCAAGTGGGGCAGGTGAGGGCCCTGGGGCACCAGCCAGGGCAGGCAGGGAGCGAGGAGCCGTTCCTGCTAAGGGCGTCTGCAGGAGCTGATCTGCGTATGGGCAGGAAAACGCTGCCATGTGCTCAGCGTGTCTCTGTGACCTGAGAGCGGGGAGGGATTCCAGGGCTGCTCCTCCAGGCCCCTAGCACCGCCCAGCTCTGGAACAGGAGGGCTGGTTGCTTTGGTCCCTGCTGGTCCAGTGTTTGGCCAATGGGAGGTGCTAGGGAACGAGGCCTCCATGCTGCCTGTAGCTCTGTGAGCCCAGGAGCTTTGACCCTGGCACTGAGCGCGCTGACCCTGCCGCTTAGCCCAGGGGTTCCCCACGGCCTGGGCTTGCTGCCCCGGGGAAGGAGTTCTCCCAGCCCCTGCCAGCTGGAGGGGGACTTTTCTCTTGGGCAGGGGGCTCCCAGCATGGTAGAGGGGAGGTGGTCTGCTGCACACGCCTGCTCCTGGCACCGGGGCTGTGTCATCTGCAACTCCCCTCCTCACGCCACATGCTGGGAGCCTGTGCCCTGGCCCACCCCACGGCCCCGCTCGTGGGGGACTGGCTGAACGCTGGTTCCTCTTGCAGCTCACAGAGAAGCTCCAGGATGCGGAGAACGAGTCAATGGCCAAGATCGCGGAGCTGGAGAAACAGCTGAGCCAGACACGCCGTGAAGTAGAGACACTCCGGGTGAGACCAGCAGGGAAGGGACGGGGGGCACCGAGGCTGGGGGCGGGGTGAGGCCAAGTGGGAAGGTGCAGAGGGCAGTGAGAGAGGTGTCGGGCAGGGTGGGGGAGGTATGGGGGCAGGGAGACGGGGAGGGGCTGGTTCTGGAGCATGGTGGGCGTTCCAGTGGGGAGATGTTCCCGCACTGAGCTCTCGCAATGCTGCTGCCAGCCTCCCCGAGCGGCTCCTCTCCCGGCGCGGCGGTGCTAGGACCGGGGGCCTCCTGCTGTAGGTGGGCTCCTGGCACCGAGTTGCCAGTGCCGGAGATGGGGGTTGGGGGGGGCTCTCTGTTCGTGGATGATCCCCCCGCCCCTCTCTGGATCTCTCAGGCAGGCTCGGCCCTGCTGGCTCCTGCATGAGGCCCAGGGATCGGGTCCCTCTGCCGAGGAGGGGGATGGCACTGATGCCCGCTGTGCTGTGTGTGTCTGCCCAGGAGCGGCTCAGCGAATCCAGCAGCCAAGCCAGCTCCCCCCCACAGCAGCAGCAGAGGCTGGCGGATGCCCGTCCCTCGGCCTTGGAGCAGAAGCTGGAGGAGCTGGAGGAGAAAGGGTTAGTCCGGATCCTGCGTGGGCCAGAGGGAGCCGTTGCCATCGAGATTGTCCCTGTCGTCATGGAAACCACAGCAGTCCCCACGGTTACTGTAGAAGCCTCCGCCTCTACCAGTACAGGTACCTTCAGTGGGCAGCGTAGCTGGAGGACTGCAGGGGTTAATAGGATGGGGTTGGGGGGGGCTCTCTGTTCGTGGATGATCCCCCCGCCCCTCTCTGGATCTCTCAGGCAGTGGCGGCCCCCCTGGCTCCCGCCTCAACCCCAGGGCTACGCCACCCCCTCCGCGGACGGGG